TGGACTCGCTGCCAAAATCATTCATTTCCGATGAATAGACGACTGCTCCGGGAACTCCGATACATCGATAATCAACTCGATGTTGGGAATAAGAGATGTGTGTAGACAGGAGTTACAATAAGACCCAGGTGTGGTGAACTCTAGCTTCACACTCGTGGAGGACAAAGTGGGGGCTCTTCCTCTTTGATCTCTCTTGTTAAGTAACACTTTCTCATATAGTGGGAGAAAAACAAGTGTGTTCCTCTCTTGTTCTTTGTCACTGTGAGCGGAGAGGGTTTGACAGTGGGGGGGGGAAGTGAGGCTGGAGGGCTGGGTCAGAGGTTTCGCTTGCTAGTGTTTGAGCGTATGTGTGTGTGTGTGTGTGTGTGTGTGTGTGTGTGTGTGTGTGTGTGTGTGTGTGTACAGTACGATGTGACTGCACGTACCACACACGCCTCCAGTAGCATCCCGGCTGTGTCTTCTAATCTCCAGCAGGCCTGATGAATGTGAACACAACTGATACCACACTGCCAGCTGTCCCTAATACCTCCTCCTTCTTCTTCTCCTTCTTTTTCCTCTCACAGCGGCACCGCCCCCAGGGACCACGGCGAACCACAAACGCACGTAATGAGATTATTTCCACAAAAAAAAAGAAAAGAGAACATTTTCATTAAGAGAAAGGGGAAGCGTGTTTGCATCGCGGAGCATCACTGACTCAACCAACGAACAGCATCACAAGCCTGAGCAGCAAATCCACGTGAAACGGAAATCACGCCGCTCATTTTACGGACCGTCACGCCAAGATGGATAAGCACTTACTAACATGTTACAGTTGTATTCACACTGTTAGTTGTTCTCACCAACATTTGCTGGCCGAGGACGATGACGTTATGACGAATGGATGCATAGAGTCCGCTGACTGAACCGAACTGAAACAGCCCCTTTCAGGACCAAAGGGCTTCTGTTCTATAGCGTCATATCGAAAGGACGGCCTGTTCTTTTTTAATAACCCAGTTTTCCATTGAATGAATTGTATTTGTATCTAAATGTTTCAGGAACACAGTTCTTTACAAACAGCAACAACACTTTGTCAAACATAAGCGTACAAAAGACAAACAACGGCACAACAATCGGAGTTCCAATCTGGGGAAGTGATAGCAAACAACAAAAAATGTTAAAATCCCCCCTCAAGCACCACATTCCTTTGATTTGAATGCACTTTATTGTGACTGGTGTTGCAGCGTCCAGGGCGGCGTCCCGCCCCTCCTCCCATAATCCTCGGCTTTCAAGCCCGATTAAGTGAGTGGCGATGTCCCACGATGTGATTATCTTTGGCAACCTTCCGCCGAAATCGCTGAAGTCGCGATCAATTCAACTGCTACAGCAATTGGGGGGAATTGAATTTGTAATTATTCAGGTCACCGCGAGCCGCTCGAACCACTGCGGCCCCTGGGAGGAGGGACGGCACGGGGCCCCTGCCAGCGTGCGTCTGTGGAGCTCAGTTGATTCTAATTCCTCTGCAGGACATTAATGAGCCGGGGTAGTGGCTGCCTTAATGGGCAGCCGCACAGGCTTTTAAGTGCCCCCGGGGAGGGTAATCCACGGAGGTGGGACAGCACTGCTGCACGGCCCAGACAGATCGTGGTTTCATTTTGCTGTGACTTTGCTTCCACGCTGTTCATTATAAAAAAAAAGGGCGTGCGTTCGAAGGCCCCGGGTTCGGTGGCCGATCGAGAGCCAAAGTGGAAGCATTCCATTACACGTTTTCATAACATGTGGACTGAACAAATATATGTTATTGAGCAAGCACCGTTGTTACGAGCCGTCTGAACAAAACCAAATAAGAGGTGAAAACGGATGACATTATCATACAGGCCATGCACGGAAGCAGTGGTGGAAGAACTTCATAGTACTTTTGCTTTTGCTGTTTTTTTTTTCAGGAGAATCTTAATGAGGCAAAATGTTTGTTACTAATTTTCTTTTGTAAATTGTTGTTTTTTTTGGAGGCGGCAAATATGAGGAAATATGTAATACCCTTATATCGCGATAAACATGCTCAACACACGATAAGTTAACAAAATAATGTGTATGAAAAATGTATTGTTTAATTAAAAAGTGGTTGCACAAAATTATCGGGGAAAAAAAAGAATGATAGCTATATTTTAAAGTACAGCTTTCTACTAACCCGAACCCTCGGGTGCCACATCACCTGTGTTTACATCAATGCTCTCATCTTACAAGTGACGACGTCCAAAAAGAACAAAGTGTGCAGACTTTTTCAAACCTGAGACCAGCAGCTCTTCATTTGTTGTTCAGTCACTAACTTGGATCAAGCGGCACTCTGGTCCTTTTGGTTGGACTCAGACAATCTGCCATTGATTGGTGATTAATATTGCTGATGGCACTGTAATTTCAAGGTTAAAAAAAGCAGATAAAAAAAACTTCATATTGTACAGCAGGAAGTGTGTGAAATATTGTTTGTTTGCGGCGTCACTCTGGGAAACTCAGTGATTAATATTCATGATCGTAAAGGTTTATTAGTTCCCACAGTAATCGCTGCATCTGTTTCAGTTTGCTTTCCCAATGCCAACTCAATATTTACAAGCAAGATGTGAGAGCAGATGCAGCTGTACGGGTGAACACAAACTACATCGCATTTGCACTTTGGGTTGTTGCTATATAGAGCATATTGCATGTGATAAAAGTCATGTTTTGTTCTCATTTCAGCTGCTTCGCCCTCTTTATTGCCTACGGCTGGACACCGCCGTGACTGAGCTACCTTCAAAGAGAAACCCAGGGCACACACATCAAACATGGAGTGAATTTCGCCGAGTGGTGGGGTTCAAAAACCTGCCTCCATGAGGTCTGCGTGTGGGCAGGCGTGCTATATGCATCCACCCGCTGCCCCTCTGTTCCAGAACCTCAGCAAGCCTTGTTGATCGCTTCCAAAACATTTGTGCTGAAGTCTAATGCCTCCGTCTCGGGCGTCATGGACATTATTACACTGTGAAACGATGTGTGAAATGCTGCTGGTCAATCGTAGCCCATATTGTTGTATTGTGTGCTTTGTATTCTCCGTGAGGAAAATTGTCATATTTGGTGCCAGTTGTCATTTAAAACATTTATCAGTTGTTGTTGTTTTTTTACTGAATAATACTGACAATCCATTAAAGTGTGGAAATGTCAACGTGTGGACATGCGGCTATAGCTTTGTCTTCACTGCTTCACATTTAGTGCCAAGCTTCATTTAAGAACATTTGTCGGTTCTTCCACCTCCATTCAGATCTCTAATTAACATTTGAGTTTGACCTTTTTCCACCGTTAAGTTCAATAAGGGTTTTCCAAATGGATTGGAGAACATGTTTTTTCTTTTTTACAAAGTAATTTCCCTTTCTGAATTACAATATTTGTAACCCTTAGATACGGCATGAATAAAATGTGTTTTTTTTTTGTGTTATACCGCAAATATGCCGTATTCAAATGTATCCTACTTGATAATAAATCATGGATGCGTCATGAATCATGGCGGACCTGCAGCCACATCCGGCACAGAACCAAACGACGAGCCGTCCGCTTCCGTAAATAACGTCTGGCTGTTATTTGCTGACATTGCCAGACTGCAGCAGAAACTAAATATATGTGCACGCTCAGGGAGCGCAGAAGCTGCACGAGCATGCAAACACCCGCTCGGGGAGCAGCTGTGCACACGCACGGCCACGTGAGCGCGCTCCAGGTGTTGCTGCTTCCAACCTGGCGCGCGTGAACGCGGAATTAAAGGATGAGAACAAGTTCAGGAAAAAATAAATAAAGCATGCAGCAATTCATCCTTCTGTGGGATTCATTGGATTCCCCCACTGTGTGTTGGGTGTGCCGCGTGGCTGGGTTCGATTCCCCACAGCACCACGTGATTACCCACGGAACGCCAGACAACGACAGCTCTTAGGTCTTCTTGGATGCTGCTCGGTGGGATGGTTGCGAAAATAGGATCTTGAGAGCCAGCACATGTGCCCAATATGCCTGATGTCATGGTGGGTGTCGGCGCGCTGTGACTGGACCGGAGACTCCGTGGAGAGTCGGGTGATGTTTCCCGACACACGAGTAAGGACACGGGAGAGGAGCCCGGACCTTGTGGCGCACTGTGGAAGACCTTCTGACCCGAATAATGTAGAATCTAGCACTGAGCCCTGCGGTTAGAAACGCACCTCTGCACATCTGCACGACTGCTGTTGGCAGACTGGGACAGAACGTCCTGCTATTTCCTTTTGTTTACAGTCGCCGGTGCACGCTCGATGTTCTGGAGAACAACCACTCGGTCTTCGCAGACAGTGTCGCTGTCAGAAAGGAGACCGTACAGCCCACTTAACTCAAGCTTTCCTTTTCTCGAGCCAATGCCCGTTTTTTGTTTTTTTGTTCGCTCTTCTGGACAAGTTGTTATTCTGAAGGCGGCGCGCGGCTCCCCGGGGTCACGAGGAAAGTGCTTAGTCGAGTTTTCCTTTCGGAAACACGCACCGCGTGTGAGCCCAACTTTCTCCTCCTTTCTTAGGGGAGTCTTCACGCTGTATATATTTTATTCCAGGGGATTATTAATGTGTACGATAGGGGATGAAATTCACATTTTACTGCATGAGTTCAATCAACAATATCAGCCAAACTCACGGAATCAAAATCCTAATTGGCCCCCGCGCAGCAGCAGCAATGCTCATCATGAGGATTATCATCAATCCTTTTCATCGGGGCGACACTGACTCCCCCCCCACACACACACACTGCCTTTCTGTGCCATGCAACATCCATAGACCCCCCCCCCCCCTCTCCCCCCTCGCTTCCGCCGGGCTTCTGCACGCAGCGACCCGGGGACAAAGACGGCGATCTCTCTGCCGCCGTTCCAGACCTCATCAGCATGGAAATTGTCAAATCCCCATCCAAGCTCACGTGCGCGCTTCCGAGTGCGCCCCGGGGTGCGCGTCGGGGCGCGCGCGGGAATAAGAAAGGGAAAAGATAAAGTGGTGGTCGTTATTTACCTCGTTCAGTTACTTCGGCGTGCGGCGGCTGCTATTCCGAGCGCATGCGGCAGAAGGACTCCCATTCGTTCTGGAAATCCCGTTTTCTGTCCCCTTCTGAGCGTTGTCCCCCCCGCCCCGGTTCCTCGTCCTTATTGTCCCCGGTCGAAAGAGAGGTAGCGGTCAAAGCATCCCTTTCTTTTATTCTGCCGTGCCAGCTGACACCCACCTTCATGCCTGGGTTGATGGAGACGGGGGGAAAAAAAAGGGAAACGAACGTCAGGCAAAGAGGGGGCACACGCTCCAGGGTTTATTTTCCTCCTGCCCCACCACCCCCCTCCCCTCTCTCTCTCTGTCTCTCTCTCTCTCTCTCCTCTTTTTGCGCTCACACAATCCGGATTGGGCGCATGGAGGTGGAGACGTCAGAGCGAGCTGTGTGTTTTTGGCGCTCAGTGCCTCTTCTTTCTCTTGCTCTTCCCCTTCTCTCCGGTCTCGTCGCGCCTCTCTCGTCCCCCTCTTGTGGTCTTCTCCGTGCCTCTCTCCGCGCCTCGCCGTTTCTCGTTGGCTCCCTCGGAAGCGGCGCGCTCCGCCGTCCGTGACGCGTGACACGGCTCTACGCGTGCGGAGACATCTGTGAATGCGCTTACGCTGGGGGACCAAAGTAGCCTCTTAGCGAGAGATTGAGACCACCCTCGCCTCCTCCCTCCTAGAGATGGGCTTTCTAGTGGCTTGTTCCATTAATGCTCGGAGCAGGATGGGCTGCAGCACCGATGGGGGGGGGACAAAAGAAAAGGGGGAGTCGCTCAAGGGGAGAGGGAAGAGAGGGAGGCGGGAGGTGGAGAAGAGGTGTTCGAGAAGAAGATGTCAAAGACCACATCTTATTACTGTGTAATAACATGTAACTATGCATAAGTAAGTGTACAAATAGCACAAACCCTGGTTAGGTGCGTTTTTGATTTTACAGACGCACACGTCACCTCAACTACAGACCTTCCATCCCAGATGAAGACAATTAAAGACCCCCGCTGGAGCATATGCATGTATTGTCTTTCTATAGGAGCTGCAATTGTGTCACAGCCAATTGCCTCATGCATGACCGACTTGCACAATATGGCACACACGCAGAAAGTGCAGGCATCCTGGAGGATATTAAGGCCCAAGCAGTCTCTGAATGTTAATTTCAATCATTGGCAGGGAGGGAGTCAATGCGAATTCCACCCCCAAAAAAGTGCACCATTTAATTCCAGGCGTCACTGAAGAGAGAGCCTGTCTGCTGTGAAGGTGAGAGAGCGTCTGGATCAAAAACCCGTCACCTCGGCCAGCTCTCCTCCTCCGAGCCCCGGACGCCGCACCTGGTTTTTTCCGAGGAGCTCGGGCCAGGCCGGAGACTCGAGTGGAGGACCGCGAACCCGCTCGAGAGAGAACCACAGTCCTCGACATTACGAAGCGGCCAAATAAGGCCTCGGGAGAGCCGCCCGCGGACAAAGACGTGCTTTACTGTGTCACCAGCATGAAACAGAACTATCTAGCTCACAGACGTAATGTTTCTAATTACATTTTATTTATGAAACCTCAGAGGCTACTTTTCATTTTGCCCCGACAGTCAGCAGTCAGGAGGGAAATGGAATCACTAAGCTGCTGTTGAGAGCACAGACACTAATGTGTTGGTGTTTCCGTGGGCCTGGATCGCCTGGAGAAAAGCCCTCAGATGATCTTGCGCCTGCGTGCAACATTCGCCTGCAGAGTGTCAGGCGGTATTTTCAGCTTCGGTCCGGCCGTCGGCTCTCACGACGTGAGAAGCCGAAATCCAAAGCCACGAGAGTGTGACACGGCCGTCCAGCAGGACAATTTACCCCGAAAAGGATGAGGCGTGGACAAGAAAAGCTTCTGTTTGAGGGTTCAGAGGGGTCCGTATGACGGGGACTTCATCCCCCCCACAGCCACAATTGTGACAAAAGACAACAACGAAAACAGAGGAAATGAGCGAGACGTTTGTCGACCAAATCCAACGACCCATAATAAAGTAGTTTGATGTCTTTTACTGTACATTTTATCTATGTCTATCAGAGAGAAACAATAGAGGAATAACAGCCCTGTTACTTAGTTTAAAAACAAAGCGTTCCTTAACAACAGTTTCCAATTAGCAAAAGATGTGCGTAAATTACATTGTCAGCTGGGTGGAGGTTTCACGCTCTCAAAAAGCAGGTCAGGTGCATCGCAGGCTCCAAATGACCCATCAGTGTGAACGTGGGCTCGGGTGCGTTTGATATATGAATCCTTTGAAACATGCTTGTGTGGAGGCCTATAAATAAACTGGACTTGACTATTCAGTTTGCACACAGAATGCAACAACAACACACACACACACGTCTGTTCTGACTTACTGCACAGTATACAATGAGACAATGAGTCAAGGGCATATGTGTTCAATATATCAAGAGATCGTTTACTGATTTATCTGCGGCCGTCACTCCTTTCTCGGGACACGACGCTGTTTGCGCCTTTCGAGCATGAACCAACGAGGTCTTTATGTGTGTGTGTGTGTGTTTAAAGTGTGCCATGCTTGTCTTAAATCATTCACAGCTCCACCGTGGCTCTGGGTGGTGCCAATTTCCCTTTTTGGAGGCCATTTGAATTTGATGATTTTTTTTTTTTCTTATCCCACACGCCATCTGCCGCTTCGTTTCGGGCCCAATAAGAAGGAAACAGAACGGCATCGGAGTTCAGCATATGATATAGACAGGAGCTGAGTAGGGCAGGACACACACACACACACACACACACACACACACACACATACACACACACAGGATGACAGATGGACAGGGCCCGGACATGCCAGCCGCGCTGGAGCCAGGCCCGGTGGGCCGGCCCCGCTGGCCTCACTCGGGGTCCATTGATATCTAATGTTCTGACTGACTTTGAGGTGAGGAGTTTCATCCTGAGATTCCCGTTTTTCTGGACCCACTCTGGGTCCCTGGTACACTACTGCATTTCTTTGGTGGATGTCGTCCAATCCAAACCACTGTGGATTCAATCTTTCATCAGTTCATACCACTGACCGTACCACTGAAATAGACTTAGGCTACAACCAATTATTTCAGGATTGGGCCCTGAAATTATTCTTTAGAAAAGTAGATGCAGCAAAAACACCTTTTAACAATTACAGGAACCATCATTCCCTTTGGACCAAACATTAACCTCTCTGTATTCAGTCTGTAGCACAATTGCTTTTCCCCGTGTGTGGCAGGGTGGCCCGGAGGCGCACACTTACCGGGGAAGAGGAGCGACGCCGTGAGAGAGGAAAAGGCCAGTGTCAGGTCTGTGTCAGACACAGTTATGCCGTTTCTCTGAGCAGCGCACCGGAGAGTGCAAAAAAACCCCCGCCGAAACAACAGCGAAGTCACGCAGACCGTGGCGGCTTCTCCTGTTTTTCCAAAATGCCTGACTCATATGTGTTCCCCAACGCAGACACCTCGGCAATAAACTCTCCCTGGTGGGGATGAGCGAAACGAGCTCGTGTGTGATGGCTACGAAGAGCATTGGACGGAGAGGCGGGCAGGAGGCGGGCCCGCCAACAGCCTGGGTTATAGCTTCGCCGCGTCCACGGCCTTGGGCTGTATCATCACTTGGAGGTGAGTGTGTTTCCAGGTGAACTGCCTGAAGACGTCCGGGGGAGACGGACAGATTGGAGAGGTGCAGCGGCCCCCGTTTCCTGATAACAAACGAGCGGCCTTCCAGGAGTCGGAATTAGGGCGCGGCCGTGGAAATGAGTCAGTCTCATCATCTGACTGAAATATGAACAGAAATAGCTCATGCCTCTTTGTTGCAGAGTATTAAAAGTCACATGTTCAAGGTTGTGGTTTTACCCGGAGACGGGAATCAGCGACTCTTCCTCACAGTGTTTGTCCAGAGGGGTGTGCCGCATTTGTGTGCAGCTGGAAGGTTGTCGTCATATTTACTTCAGCGTTGTGTAGGAAATGATGTCATATGGGTGTGTGGTTATGAGGCTCTTGGCAGCATTCGCTCCGGGTGCGCACATGATACTGCTGTGTGCTGACACACATTCCCCTTAAAAAGTATGGAGCGTGGAACCAGAGTGCAAAGGCAAGAGAGTGAGAAGAACCAAAGACATCTTTTTATATTGATTGTATTATCCGAAAATGTCGAGCACTGGACGTCTCTTTGCTCTCGCTGTCCTGCTCTGCCAAACCGATGCGATCTCACAAAACTATGTGAAATGACGTCACACAAATGGTGATAAAACAACGTGCTGCTCCCAGATGAACTATGTTGGTTTGGGAAACAACACTTGTCTGTGTGGGAGCGGCTCCTCTGGGCAATTTTATCAGGGTTTCTGCTAAGCTACGTTAGCAGCTATGTCCTGATCTTTTTGGGGGGATTTGGGGTGAAGGTTTCTACCTCAAAAAACTCATAAACCCATAAAAGAGGCCAAAGCACATCCTCCAGCACGAGCATTGATTGAAGACGCCAGTTCACATCTCACCGGATACGACACGAGGGATTATGTCACCATCTATTTGTTGATCAGGTCCCGCGATGGAAGCCGGATGAGCCACACTGGTTGCTCCTGATCTTCACTGTAAAACAAGTCACAACCTTTCAACCACCGATAAAATAATAGTGAAAATGACCCGAATCGCCCTTCGCTTGTCCCATTCCAGGGAGAAGTGTAGTTCACGGTGATTTCTAAAGCTCGGAGGGGTCGTGGCGGGAGGCCAGAATCGGGCCCGGCGAGCAGCTGCCTTTCGGTGACAGCAGGGAGGCGGGATTGTATTTACGTTGAATCAGGCCATCAGCTGGACAGCCTCCTTGGCACGTAGGAGCGACTCAGACGGATCAACAAACAGCTGTCTGACGCACGCTGTTCAAGGGCAAATCCTCAGACGCCTAGAAATCACAGAGTGACACCGGAGCATCTGTAAGAGGGCTGAGCTCCAAACACACGGGCAGAACCCACCGTGTGAACGAATCCGCTAGGCTTCAAAACATAATGTTTCAGATGTTTAAAGCCATTAGCCAAAATAACCCTAACCCCTTTTTGTTATTCTAATAAAATATAGAATATAGCTGCATGTAAAAAAGTGGAGCTGAAGTGTATGTACAGATATTTCTAGTGACTGGATTTTATGACCCAATTTCTTTACTTGTCTCGCTCATCTGAAAGGTTTCCAAGCGGGTCATTAGTTTTATATTAACTTTGATAAATCCGACCGTATGAATCATTTAGAGTGTGTGATGCTCCTCTGAAGGAAAGTGAACATGTAGTTCAGTTTCTCACAAAACTCGCCGAGATGGCAAATTTCCTTTTTTTCTTATTTTCTACAAATTAAGGTTTTAGATCATGAGCGGCCGTGTCTTTGAAAAGGACGGTTAGAGATTGAGTCCCGTCGTTTGTACAACAATTTTCAATTGGATAACATTGCATCAGGAGAGGAAAAGAAAGCAAAGGATAGCTGATGACAATTTCCGCTGTGGACACATTTTAATGACTAAAGTCTGGATTAATTAGCGGACTTGTGGACTGTGGTAATTCTGGGTACAGGCTGCAGGGTTAAGTTAAGCAATTAGACAACATCTCTCTTTTCCAGGGGGCAACAGGGTTTTCTCTCTAGTTGTAGTTTTTTGGCATTTTGTATCAACCATCGTATGTGGATTTTTTTGTTGTAACTTTAGGTTAATCTCCTACA